TGATGAAAGTATTTTCTTTTGGGATTTTCTTTCTTTTTGGGTCAACCCTGCCTCGGTGGGAGACGGCCGACTTTGAATATATATATATATATATATATATATATATAATATATATATATATATATATATAAATATATATAAATTATATATTTAAGTTGAGTACACTACTGACCATCGCCCTCCAATGTAGAGTGACCCTCCCCCCCCCCCAAAAAAAAAAAGAGGCATTGACTGTCGTTCATTCATTATGTTTCCAAGTGTGCAGATATAACAGTTACAATGACCCTCCGATCAGTAACATTCCCAACCATCCTACAGAGTGCAGGCAAAGTAACGTCCCATCTCCAGGATAGAAATTCACCTGACCGATTTTCTTGAATCCCTTCAGAAATCTTGTTCACATTCCAACAGCAGGTCAGGTCATAAAAACCATTTGCCTCCACTATTTAAGGCACTCGAGCAAGCCTGCTGGATGCTTCGGCCGTAGCCTACCCCTTAAAAACTTCCTTCACGCCCTCTTTTTAACCTTTCCTGGGACGACTCCTACCCCACCTTCCTTCCTCTCCAAATTTATATATATTCTTGATCATGTTAGTCTCCTCCATCCTGTAAATGCTCAGGCCACCTTAACATCCCCTTCCTTAACTCGTGCATTTCGTAACCCCCACACCATCTACATGTTTTTTCACTCAGATTTTGTTTTGCATAATATTAACACCAAAGACTGTTTTCAAACACATCACTGCCTCCAGCCTCTTCATCTTAGCAACGTTTAAAACTTATCCGCCACACCTATTTAAAAGTGTTGGTACCACCATATATAAACTACTTTCTCTCCACAGACGCGTCTATATACCATCCACCTTTATTCCTCGTCAATTCTGAGGTTCATCTATTTTTTTTATCCATATACCGATATGTCCACTCCCAAATATCTAAATGAATTTATTTCCTCCATACTCCCTCCTTCCAATCTAATGTCCAGTTTTTCGATGTGTAGAATTTTTTTACCCTCATTACCTTGCTCTTTTCTATGTTCACATTTCGTTCTTTTTTTTTACTCACCGTCCCAGTCTCCACTTCTCTTCACAATCTCCCAAAGGAACTGTCATTGGCAACTGCCACTTTGTATCACACATCCCTGTGTAAGGCCTTCTTTTACTGGAAAATAATAATATATTGGTTTCCTACAAATTAACCTGAGCCTCATTACCACATGAAACTTTTATTTTTATGCTTTCTTTCTT